GGGCGCGGCGGAGCGGCGAGCCTCTGGTGCCGCGAGCGCCCGCGTCGTAGCCACCATCGCGCGCGAAGCTTCGCGCAGGCCGATGCTGGAGCATCCGGTCCGTCTTCGAGTGTCGGCGGCATGGGGGGCCATTCTTCCTCGACGTCCTCCCTTTCGAGTGTCGCTGATGTTTCCTCCTGTTCCTCGGGTCTGGGGCCCCTTCCGCCGTCCCGGCGCGCTGAGGATCAGTTCCTGGAAGTAGTCCCTGGGGGCTCGCGCCGATTTACGTCTCAGGGGGCGGCGCGCTTGAAAACCGCAGCCTCGGCCGCGGGCGAAGCCTCGGGGGTCAGTTTTTGGCAGCTTTGCACGGCCTCGTGGGCAGGGCTGCACCTGAACGCTGTCGCGCGGGACTTCGGCCGCGCGCGGTTTCTCGCTTCGGGGGGGGTGGGCGCAGGACAGCAGGTGAAGCGAAACGAGGAGCGAAACGAAAAACACAAAACGAGAAACAGCGTTCGGGGCTGCGCGCGATTTCTCGCTTCGGGGGGTGGGAGGCGCAGGACAGCAGGCAGAGCCAAACGAAGAGCGAACAATGAACAACAAAACGAGAAACGGCGTTCGGGCCCAGCCCTGCTCGTGGGCCACCTGCCCCGCACCTCTGAGCCCCGGGCGTCGCTCGGACGCGTGCATGTTTTTCTCGGCGAGGACCCTGGATGGGGCATCCTGGACCCTCGCGCAACAGAAAACACGCGCGAAACCGAACAACTGCACGGGAAATGGACGTCGGAGCGACGGCAAGAGCCGCGCCGCCGCCCCCCCCCCCCCGCTTGGAGCGCGCGCGCGCCCCCCCGCGCCCCCGCGCGGCGCCGGGCGGGCCGGGGCCCGCGCGCCTGGCCGCGCCCGCGGGGGCGCGGGGGCCGAGCGAAGCCGCGTGCAAAGGCCGCGGGGGGCCAGCTCTTGGTCGGATTCGGACCCCCTCCTCTTCCTCCTCCTCCTCCTACTCCTCCTCCTCCTCATCCTCCTCCTCCTGCTCCTCCTCCCTCCTCCTCTTCCTCCTCCTCCTTTTCATCCGGCTCCTCCCTCCTCCTCCCCCTCCTCCTCCTCCTCCTCCTCCTCCTCCTCCTCCTCCTCCTCTTCCTCCTCCTCCTCACCCTCCGCCCCTCCTCCTCCTCCTCCCCCTCCTCCTCCTCCTCCTCCTCCTCCTCCCCTCTCCCTCCTCCTCCTGCTCCTCCTCCTCCTCCTACCTCCTCCTCCTCTCCTCTTCCTCCTCCCCCTCCTCCTCCTCCTCCTCTTCCTCCTCCTCCTCCTGCCCTCTCCTCCTCCTCCTCCTCCTCTCCTCCTCCTCCTCCTCCTCCTCCTCCTCCTCCTCCTCCTCCTCCTCCCCCTCCTCCTCCTCCTCCTCCTCCTCCTCCTCCTCCTCCTCCCTCCCTCCACGGGGCCACCCGGTGGCCAACTTTTGGTCGGCGTGCGGTGGGTCATAGCTGCGGTCCCCTAGGGCCGACCTTGTCTGATCTGATATGATCTCTCCTCCTCCTCCTCCTCCTCCTCCTCCTCCTCCTCCTCCTCCTCCTCCTCCCCCTCCTCTTCCTCCTCCTTCTCCTCCTTCTCCTCCTCCTCCTCCTCTTCCTCCTCCTCCTCCACGGGGGCCACTCGATTGCCAACTTTGGGTAGGCATGCGGTGGTTCATAGATTCGGCCCCCTAGGACCGACCGTGTTTGATCTGATCTGATCTCTCCTCTTCCTCCTGCTCCTCCTCTTCCTCCCCCACCTCCTCCTCCTCCTTTTTCTCCTTCTCCTCCTCCTCCTTTTCCTTCCACTGTTGGGAGCCGCCCGAGCTGTTGGGGTTTCGATCGTCGTCGTCGCCGCCGCCGCCAAGTGCCCCACGTGAGGCAGGGTTCCTTTCGATCCTTCTGGTACGATTCGGTTCGGTTTCGGGCGATTCCGATTCCGATCTTGTTCAGTTTCGAATTCCGATCTGGCTTCTGGTTTGCCCATGGAGGCCTCACTATTACGCTGATTTCCGCCGATCCCTACAGAGCCGATTCATTTTGACCGCTGATCCGACCTCGGCTCGATTTGGGGCTCTCTTGCACATGCCTGGCCGAGCGGTCGGGGTGTCGATCGTCGTCGCCGCCGCCGCCGCCGCCGCCGCCCAGTGCCACACAGGCAGGGCTTCTCTCGACTCCCCCAACTCGGGTCGCTTCGGTTTCCATGGATTCCGATTCCGATTCGATCCAACCGCGCATTCCGAATTGAATTTCAATTTCGTTGTCTCAATGGAGACATTGCCAGTCTGCCGATTTTCGCCGATTCGACTTCTCCCGACTTGGCTACCGATGTCCGCCGATCCGATTCACTTCGATCGCTGATCCGACTTCTGGACTCGGTTCTTGGGTCGGCTGCTCATCGCCCCACGGGTGGCGCGATTCACGCAAGTGCCCAAGTGGGAGGGAGGAGGTAGGAGGTAGGATCATGGAGTGCGACATGTAGCATTCCTCTCCTTGCAGCTCCGGGCTTCGCAGTCGAGGGGCGTTCGTCGTCTCGGCAGGACTTGGCAGCCACGAGGTCCTGGTGAGGAGGGGCCCTTGGAGAGGCCCCAAGGTCTGTTTCGATGGGGCAGATGTTGGCATTCCGACGCAAGCCATTTCGAGCGCCGCGTATCACCAACCATACGATTCCTCAAGGTGATGGCAGGATTCAGCAGTTGTCGTGACGAGCCACGTCGTGGGAATCTGGCAATTCTCGCACATACGCTGCGCGTTTCTATTCAATAGTGGAGCGGTGTGCTTCACTCCGCATGTTGTAGTACTAGGTTTGAGATGCCCCAGCGATGAGGACATCTCAGTTCACAAGTGGGCTTTGACTACGCAGTTCATGCCAAACGAACACGGGGATTGCATGCACACTGAGATGCGGTGTTCGAGCGATTGGGCATTCCCTTGCGGCGCCAGCCTGTTTATTGGACGAGCCAGTTGCATCAACATCCTGGGGGGTCTAGGGGGCCGAATCTATGAACCACCGCATGCCGACCAAAAGTTGGCCACCGAGTGGCCCCCGTGGAGGAGGAGGAGGACGAGGAGGAGGAGGAGGAGGAGGAAGAAGAGGACGAGGAGGAGGAGGAGGAGGAGGAGGAGGAGGAGGAGGAAGAAGAGGAGGAGGAGGAGGAGGAGGAGGAGGTCACCCCTGGAGGTGATCAAGAGGCTCGTGCAACTCCGCCGACCCCAAGGAGACGACGCGTGCGCCTCCCTGCTTCGTGCGTGCTGTCCGCCACCTCCCGTCGTGCTCGCTGTGTGCAGTTGTGGCTGGCTTGTCTCTTGGACCGTCTGGGAATCCTCTTGGGAGGAGGAGGAGGAGGAGGAGGAGGAGGAGGAGGAGGAGCAGGAGGAGGAGGAGGCGGAGGAGGCGGAGGAGGAGGATGAAAAGGAGGAGGAGGAGGAGGAGGAGAGAGGAGGGCCTCCCAGTGGCCTCTTGGGCCGGCAGGGGTCGGTTGGAGGGGGGGCTTCTCGGGCCGCCCAGGGCTCGCAGACGCCCGGACAGGGCGAGAGCAAGCGGCGCTTGCATTCGGGCTCTGTTTTGTGCAAGCGGACGGGTCCCCCGAGGACTCTCCACGTTTCTGCACGAGCGAAATGGGCACGGGAAGAATGGGTGCAATGCCCGACAGCGGGTGTTGTTCATTTTGAACCGGAGTCGCTGTCCGCGCCGCCGCGGCCTGTGTCCATTTGAGACAGAAGGCCGCCTGCCCAACAGCGGCCGCTCTTGGTTCGGGACAACATTTGCTGTTGGGCATTGTGCCCATTCTTTCCGTGCCCATGTCGGGCGTCCAAAACGTTGCTGGGCTGGACCTGAACGTTGTGTTGCCGGACTTCGGCCGTGCTCTGTTTTGTTCCGTTCTGGGCAGGGAGGTGCAGGACAACAGGCAGAGCACAGACGAAGCGCCGAACGAACACAAAACGAGCAAGACAGCGTTCAGGTCCAGCCCTGCCCCGTTGCCCCCAGTGCCGCCCCGTGGCCGCTCGTGGACGCCCCCTGCGCCGGGTGGGTCAACCCAGCGCTCGGGCCGCGTTGCCGCCCGTGCCGCCCCTTGTCAGAGGAGGAAGAGGCACCCATACAGAAGCGCTCGGGCCGCGTTGCCGCCCGCGCCGCCCCTTGTCAGAGGAGGTTGAGGCACCCATACAGCTACCCCTCGCCCCGTTCTCCCCTTGTTGGGCCTCCTGGGCCTCCGTCGTCGCCACCGCGGGTTTCGCCGCGAGATCCTGGTCAGAACGCACCCCCGGAGAGGTCCGGGGAGCAGCGGTGTCGGTACCTCTCGGGTTCCCCATCTTGGCCGCTCGGGGGCGCCGCGTGCGCTGGGCTCACACCACTCAGCTTACGCAGCATGGCTTACGCACCATGGCTGACACCACAGAGCTTCCACTGTACGCATTACGCCACCCAGCTTGCACCTCGTAGCGTCCACCGTCGGCTCGCACCACGTAGACTACACGACCCAGCTTACACCAAGTAGATTGCACCGCGTGCATTCACCTTCATAGTTCCCACCGCATAATACGCAAGACATAGCGTACACCACACACATATATATATATATATACATATTACACCGCAGACATGGTGACATACATATTGCATGGTGCAGTATTCCACTGTTTGGGATCCAGGCTGGCTAACATGTGTATGTTAGCCAGCGTGGACCCCATACAGTGAGGTAGTTGGCATCTGTAAGGCCACGGGTGGTGGAGCTGGAGGCCCCGAGGGCCCCCGAGGTGCTTTGACGAGCTCGCTCCCACTCCCTCCGCCCCCCTCTCTCACAGGACAGTGGGCCCCTGGAAAGGGGGGTAGTGGGGAGGTGGATAGCCCATCATACCACAAGCTGTCTCACTCTTGGCATGCGGGGGTCGGTGGATTTCTAATCGGGCATGTGCAGCTGCTGCCCCGTTACCACTTCCGTTGGGTAGGAACGCATGGCTTTTCCATGGATCAACCGAGCTGCCGTCTGCTCTTCGAGACAAGAAATGCGCCATCAGGTCTCTGTCACGAGGCTTGACTGCAAGGGCAAGCTAGGCTCTCAGACGATGGTGGCTGGCGAGTACATAGGTGGCCGCAGCAGGGCAGGGGATTGTCATAACCATCGTTCAGTGGCCCGCGATCCATTCCGCCAAGTCGCTTCGGTCCACGGTTGAAGCCAACATAGCATGTTCCACCATGCTCTTGTGAGAATGTTGCTTTGCGTGTTGACAAGCTGTGTGCGGCATGTCAGCGTGGCGAGGCCCTAACGGTGCATGGCTGTTGTATTGCACGTGATCGGCGTGTTGTATGCCGTCTCTCGACGGCGAAATGCGAACCCCAACTGCGCCGCTCAATGAATCATGCAACTCGGTGGGCGGTGGGGGTAGTAGGGGGCCACATGCGACTCCTACCCCTACCCCCCACGACTTTGATGGGGAGGGTGGGGTTCACTTCGTTCGGGAGCTCCCGAGCGAAGAGAACCCCACCCTCCCCCTCAGAAATCGTGGGGGGTAGGGGTAGGGTTCGCATATGGCCCCCCAGGTAGGGTCCGGGAGTCGTTGAACACGTAGCGAAACATGTGCCGGGTGGGTTCAGGGTTCGGCTGTCGTCACCCGGTGTGGGCTCAGACGCTCCACGGTGGCCCCTCGGGGGCTACACTGGGGTCGTCTCTGGAGCATCGATGTCGCTTTTGGGGGGAGGAGGAGGAGGAGGAGGAGGAGGAGGAGGAGGAGGAGGAGGAGGAGGAGGAGGGGCAGGATATAGGGGTGCCGTTAGGATGGGCAGGGACGGGTGGCCTCCCCAAAAGTGCTCTTGGGTTGCATTCGCGGTCCCCCTCTGGCTCTGTGGCCTTCACGGAGCATCCCTTGGGGTACTCTTGGGCCTCTCTCGGGGTCCGCTGAGGTCCTGGCACCCATCTGCGACCCCAAGGCCCCAGCGTGGCCCCAGAGGTGCCCAGGGGGCTCCACCAGCTTGAGCCCGACGGCCGATGGTGGCTCGACTCGGGCCCTCAAGAGTCCTCTTCCTCCCTCGGCTTCGCTCGGACGTGTGCACTCTGCCCGCCGAGACCAGTGCCAGTATATTCCAGAGCATCTATCTTGGGGCATCCTGGACCACCCTGGAAAAACGAGCGCACGAAGCCAGCCCGTGCGCGTGGAGTGGACGCCCGAGCGGAGGCGAACTTCCCGCCATCGTCTCACGTCGGCGTCGGGCGCAAGAGTTGAATTGAACGGCGCCGCCCTCCCCGAGAACCAGGGCTGCACGTCCCTTTCGTGGCCGCCTCGGACGGCTGGCCTTTTCGGCGGCCGACGCACGGGCGGCGCACGGGCGACGAATGCGCGACGCAACTCCTGTCGCGAAGGGGGGGGGGTCAGCACGCCGTTGGCTTTAGTGGGCCTTAACACCGCCTCCGCCCTGCGGCCCCCCAGCCTAGAGGCCGGCAGGTCCCTTGCTGCCGCCGTGCGGCCTCGCCGCTGCCGCCCACGGAGCCCAGGCCTTGCGGGGATGGCCGTTCCCGTCGCTGCTGCCGGCCACGGCAAGGTCTTGTGCCGCGTTGACTCCTCCTCCTCCTCCTCCTCCTTCTCCTGTACCTCCTCCTCCACCTCCTCCTCCTCCTCCTCCCCATTCCCCCCTCCTCCTCCTCCTCCTCCTCTTCCTCCTCCTCCTCCTCCTCCTCCTCCTCCTCCTCCTCCTCCTAGCCGGCGCGGGCGTTCAACGTTCAGTGTTGCCGAATGCACGGGGGCCGGAACGGCGCGGTCGGGAAGTCCCAGAGTTCCGGCGCCATGAGTTTTCCAGTCCGAGCGTGTTTGTTCCCCGATATCTTCGAACTCTTCGACGTCTGAGCGCCCCTTCATCCTCTCGACCGTCCCCCCCCCCATCTCTGCCCGCCGGCCAATTCGCTAGTCAGTGCCCCTTTCCAGCTTCTCGCTGGAGCGGAGTTCGCCGCCTCAGAGTGTTTTTGTTCCTCGATGTCGACGCCCCAGGCCCAGCATCCGGCCCCATGGGCAAGAAGAAGCCGATGGGAGGCGAAGCGTGCAGCCCCGAGGAAGGGGTCGGGACCTGTCGGGCCGCGGATTGAAGCAAACATGTCCTCGGACGCCTGTCAGGAGGGAAAGAAACACACAGACACAATTAACCGTCGATTCCAGAAAAATGCGGGACAATGTGGGACGTGGGGGGGCAGAAAATCTAGGACAATATGGGGGATATTTCTGTTTGTGTGTACTAATTTGTGTGTCCCAGGGCCCCTTGAGTCTGGGGATGACGAGCGGCCCGCGCTGTGGAAGTGTCGCGATCGCTGAAATTTGAGCGATCCACGCGGTCTGATCAACCAGCGCCGACTGCATGGCGACGTGGAGACCAGTTGCATCGATGTGGCCGTTTTGGGGTCCTCGGTCGCCGTCGTCGCCACGGAGTTGTTCCTTCGTTTCCTCACGTGTTCATATTGTTTCTTTTTGAATCCCATGAGCGTCCCGCATGTTTCCTCGTGTTTTTTTGTTTGTCAAGTGTTCTCCTACCAGGCTTGAAAGCTTGAACTTGCTAACGCTGGCTCGTGTTTGCCCCCATGTGATTGCTCACTGTTCCACTGGCGAGTCTTGGTATGCTTCCCTCGACCTCCACATCCCGCACCCTCTGGGCGGCAGGCGCCGCGCAGCGGCCGCCGCCTGCGCGGCCGCAGTGGCGGCCGCGGTCGAGGTCGCAGCGGCGATCCCGGCGGTTGCCGCGACCGCGCCGCGGCGGCACCTGCTGCGCGGAAGGCTAGGAAGGTGGAGGTCGAGGCTTGCCTCCGCACCCGCATACTTGAAAGTGCTCCCAGGTGCATTCGTTGGCTTGAAACATAAGCTCTTGGCTGTCGCTTGCTCCCACGTCCCCCCGCCTGCTTTCACCTGCAGCCGTTGGCCTCCGTGTTGCCGGCCGCTTCCAAGTCATATTGTGGCCTCGTTGTGCCATTTCTGAGCGTCCCTGTCTCGAGGGGAGGGAGACCCGAAGGATTACCAGCCTCGAGCTGATCCCTATCCCTAAGATCGACACGCCAAAAGGCGATGACTATCTTAGGGATTCGCCCTCAGAAAATCCGGGAATCCTTAAGATTGGCATCGTGATGAGGAGATGCCCAGCATGGGGATGGGGATCTGTTCCAGGCTGGTCAAAGGATAGAGAGAGGAGCATCGGGAGGAGGACCCCGTCAACTGCACGTGTGATACTCCAGCCTCGGCCCGCGGGTTGTCGACCCCACTCCCAAAACATATCGGGAGGGGAAAACCACACAGACGCAACGAATCGTCGATTCCCAGGAAAATATTGGAAACTATGGGAACTGGGGGGAAGACAGAAAACCCAGAACATATGGGAAAATATTGGGAATATACATATTTGTGTGCATTTATTTGTGTGTCCTGGGCCCCCCTTCATCATAGCTCTCCGCCCCGCATCCATCTCTGCTGGCCCGCGAGCAACCCGCAGACGCCAGAGGGAAGGGGCACGCCGCGACCGAGACAAACCACACCCTCGGAGATCTGGGGAGGAGGAGGAGGAATCCACGGGCATCCCTCGCAGAGTTCCGACGTCACGAGTTTCTCCCAACGTGGACCCACGGGGATGCGGGCCCCCTCTCCCGGACTGGGCGTTCCGTCTTCACCCGTTTGGTTGTTCGCCGTGGGGCCCAGAAAGGGCACCCGGAGGCCGAAAACGGCCCAAGGCCTAAAACCGTCCGTCGCGATTTGTTCATGATGACGATTGGGATCGACGCGGGGGGTTCTAAGCGGATAGGGGGATTATAGGTGGATGCCGAAGTGGATTATATCTGGCCCAGCTTGGTTTCAACGTGGGTTGCACATGCCCCGCGGGGCCTGTGGGGCATCACGATCCGGGCTCAGTGGGCTCCGCCCACTTAGCGAAGTTGTCAATCCCCACGGAGCCAGCTGGGATATTGTGAATCCTCTCATAAGTTAGGTTAGGCCAGAAACAGTGGAAATCAAGGCCAACTTGCCTCCACGGTGCCCTGTATTTCTTGGGTTTCGATGGCTTTGCGATGGAAAGCGTGACGTTCCCACACCAAGCGTCAATGGACGCCCTGGGGTCTCAGGCTTGGGTTGTCTTGTGGATGGTTCTCTTGTGGTCGAGCTCACACTTCATGACTCACCTTCGCGTCCACTGATAAGCCCCTCTTCTGCCCCCTTCCTCAGCAGCCCCCCCCGCGCCGATCCCAGGAGAGGAGAGGTGGGGGCGCGCCCGGCGACGCCCGCGGAGGTGGCGAGCCAGTACCGTTGGCCCGCTACGGCCAGGGCGTGTGGACGCGCCACAACGTCGAGGAGCAGGTGCACGTGGAGCTGCTGCGGCGCCAGGCGAGCCGCATAGAGCCCGCCGTCGTCGTCGTCGTCGTCGTCGCCGTCGCCGTCGTCGTCGTCGTCGTCGTCGTCGACGTCGGAATCAAAGATGGGCCTGGTCCCAGGGGGAAGGAGTAGTTACCCATGCCGCCGCCCTTCGCCCCGTTTGCCCCTTTTTGGGGCCTCCTGGGGGGCCCTCGTCGCCGTCGCTGGACTCGCCTCGAACTCCTCGTCAGAACGCAGCCCAGGAGAGGTCTGGGGAATAGCGGTATCGGCGCATCGGTACAGGTTCGTGTTGTGTCGACCGGCGGCGACCCCGCCAGTGGCGTTCAAATTTAACGCCGCGGGCGATCCACAATCCTTCGATGTGGAACGATTTTGCCGTTTCGGAAACGGCCGATCGTGTAAGGTTGACCGATCCCCGCGGTGTCAGAAACCAACGCCGAAGTCGGCACAACGCGAACCTGCCGTACCTTGTACCCTTGAGTCGGGCATGTTCCTCGACAGAAGGAGAATTCCAAAGTACTTATGAACAAAATAGTCTGCGGACGAATTTTGATATTGTTTTTATTACTAATTTTGGGAGCATTCTTTCGTCCAGAATCCGTCCAAATCCGTCCCAAATCTGGGATTCGTGTCTGCAGATGTATTTTCGTCATTTTCCGTCCAACATTCGCCTGTATGGGGGACACGCCCGACCTAAGGGTACCTCCCGGTTTCCCCAGGCCTCGGCATCAGCCACGGGCGTGGCCCGAGCGCGCGGGCCGGCCCCTTCCCGGCGGTTCCCGCGGGTTTGGACGCCCGAAATGGGTACGGAAAGAATGGGTACGATGCCCAACAGCAGTTACTGCTCATTTTGAACAGGACTCGCTGTCCGCGCCGCCGCGGCCTGTGACCATTTAAGGCAGAAGACCGCCCGCCCAACAGTTGATTTGGGACAACATTCGTTGTTGGGCAATGTACCCACTTTTTCCGTACCCATTTCGGGCGTCCACAGCGGGAGGAGGCCAGAGCGGCGGCGCCCACGGAAGCGGCAGCTCCACGCCGCGGAGCGGTCGGGGGGCCGTGCTCGGTCGGTGCCGGTGGCACACGGGTAATTTCCAACAGTCTTCGGCACCCCGAGCAGTGTCGAAGCAGTGTCGAACGAGTGTCTCCCCGGGCCCGACACGTGAAGACCCTCCAAGTTTGGTATTGTCCTGGTGCTCCAAACTCTTTCTGGTGATCAAGGCTGAAGTAGGCTGGAACAGCGAAGAAGAGAAAACGGCATAAACATAGATGTCTGGCGCTCCGCGCGGATTTCTTGGATCGGCCCCCTTGGCGGCGCCTCCGGCGCCGCCCCTGGCGCGCTCCGCGCGACAGGGAGGGGGGTTCCAGCGCGGATCCAGGAAATCAGCGCGGAGCGCCAAACGTTTCTGTTTATGGTTTCTGTTCCTCCTGAGAAAGGGCCTCGCCTTCGGCGTGAGGGCTTCTGAGAAGTCCCACCGCCTTCTGCGATGGCCTTCTCCTTCTCGTTTCCCCCCCTCGCTCGCCGACAAGGATCAGGTCATGGCAAACATGGATCAAGGGGGCGTGGATTAGCGACGGGTCCCGTTTCCATTGGAAGTCGCGGATTTCCGCCGCCGAACGAGGCGGCACTGGTCGCATTCTGAGGAGTGCTTCTCCCCGGATCCCAGATCCATGGATTTGGCGACCGCGCGCCAAATCCATGGATCGCTAATCCGTGTCTGCGCGCCCCCGAAAAGCACCTGTGAGAAAGGCCCTCGCCTTCGGCGCGAGGGCTTCTGAGAAGTCCCGCCGCCTTCTGAGAGGGCCTCCTCCCTCTCGTGTGCTCCCCCCCCTCGCTTGCGGCCCAAGAACAAATGTCGAGCGCCTCCGAGGCGCACTGCAAGATGATGGGGGACCACCTGGACGTCTTGCGGATGCGCTTCCCGGACCTCTACGACGTCTGCACGAGGCCCGCCGAGGAGCCCCCCCCCTGCGCGGCGCCCCGAGTTTCCGGGGGCTGCTCCAGGCGCCCCTGGCCCAATGTGGCCCCGAAAGGAGCAGGACAAAAGGGGGGGGGAGGGAGGAGGGGGAGGAAGAGGAGGAGGAGGGGGAGAAGGAGGAGGAGGGAGAGGGGAGGAGAAGGAGGAGGAGGAGGAGGAGGTTGAGGAGGAGGAGAAGAGGGGGAGGAAGAGGAGGAGAGGGGGAGGAGGAGAAGGAGGAGGAGAGGAGGAGGAGGGGGGAGGGGGAGGAGGGAGGAGGAGGGGGAGGAGGAGGAGGAGGAGAGGAGGAGGAGGAGGAGGAGGAGGAGGAGGAGGAGGAGGAGGAGGAGGGCCTGCTGTCACGCAACAGGCTCGCACCGAATGTTGGGCTCACCAGATATATAGGGAGGGCCTGCAGATCAGGGCCCCGCGCGCTGGCAGGGCCCTTGTCGGGTTCGGCGGGGGCGACCGCTGGGTCGAAGGCGTCGCCGGGTGTTGCTAGGAGTGCCCCTGGCCCAAGGTCAAGCAGGGGCGAGGCGTCCCGGCTCGCCTATAGCCCCACCAAGCAATGTTCTAAGAACCTTCTTGTGGTTCCCACGAAGTGTTCTTGGAACATTTCAGGCGGAGTCCGTCTTCTTTTATCGCATCGGGCTTATCTTCTAAGAACATGGTTGTTTGTTATTAGAACATGTTTGGGTTCTAATAACATTTCGTGGTAGGACTATAGAAATGCCGGGACGGTCGGTCCCTGCTCAACAAGGTGGCCTCAGCGTTTCGCCCACTTTGGTCGCCTCTGGGGCCCACTGGGCCTCGCGAGTGGTGCTGTGGAGGACGTGGAGCTCAGGCCTCGAAGCTCCAGAAGCAACGCGATCGATTCGGCGGAATCGACTCGTGTGAACACGAGCTCTGTAGCTGCTCCAGATCTCGGAATCGAGCCTGGAAACCGAATGCGTGCCAGAATGGATTCAGAGAGCAGGCAATTTGGGATTATACCTAGGTAGATTTAAGTCGGGCCTGTGCCTCTACAGGAGGAATATCCAAACATAGTAAGAAAAATAGTCTGGGAACGATTTTTCTAGTATTGTTTGGCATGTTTGGGATTTTTTTTGTGTTTTTGTATTTTTAGTTTGTCGCCCAAAATCCGCCTGTAGGGGGACACGCCCGACCTGAAGGTAGATCGATCACAGGCCTCTCGATGCTCGTCCTCGGAGCTCCCGGGGCCACCTCGTGCCAGGGGCGCTTCTGGCAGCAGCCGACCGGGCGTGCGGGCCTGCTCTTCCGAGGAGCCCCGATGGAGCAGAGTTTCGAGCGCGTGGTCCGGACCGTTTGCGCTCCAGGAGTCGCCGAGCGCGTTCCACGACTCGCACAGTGCCTACTCGAGGGGAACAAGAAGTGGCATAGACATAAAAACTCGGAGGTCCGCGCTGATTTCTCGGATCGCCGCTGGATCCCCCTCCCTGGCGCGCGGAGCGCGCCAGGGGCGGCGCCGGAGGCGCCGCTGGGGGGCCCCAGCGCCGATCCGAGCAATCTGCACGGACCTCCGAGTTTGTTTTGTTTATGCCACTTTTTGTTCCCTATACTCGCAAACATGTCTGCTTTGGTGTAATGTATAGTAGATCCCCCGCGGGAGATCGAGGCCATGTGCGAGTGGTCGCTTCGCGAGTAGTGGAACGCGCTCGTATAAGGAATTTGAAAAAAGAACAAGCATGTTCGGTTCTCCAGGAACTATGGAAGGTATGTGAGGCGGAGGGGAAGACAGACAGCCAGAAAATATGTAAGATACTGGGAACAGTCGGGCTTGTGTCTACTTTCTGAGAAGGCCTTACGGCCGTTGCCGCCGACCCTGAACGAACGCCCACGACGAACCACCATATGCAGCATCTGACGCACCTCGTTCGTGGAACTCTATTGGCACTTGGACTCGGACTCGGGGGTTGGAGAGTGGATTTTTGTCTGTTTGTGCGTGTGTGTTTGTGTGTGTGTGTGTGTGTGTGTGTGTGTGTGTCCCTGGGCCCCTTCAACGATGCCTGCACGGGGCCATTCGAGTACCCCCCTGCGTGGCGCCCCGCGCTGATGGTCGCGCGGCTCTGGCACCGTCGGGCACGGGGGGCGCGCAGCGGACGTATTCGGCTGGAGCCGACTCTGTTGGTCGTCCGGCGTGCGGGCAAGAGCTCCACACGTCAATCGTTAAAGTTGAGTGAGATGAAGGCCTTACGGCCAATGGCGCCGACCCTGAAGAACGACGAAGACGACGACGGCGACGGCGAGACGAACAACATTGAACATCTCAAGGGGATTCATGGAGTTCACGTGCTGAAACTGAAAATGAGGCTGGAGATCTGAGGTGGCCCAGCACTGGTTCTGGGCCGCAGGAAAGTGGGGGGCAGGCTCGAGGTTCTGGGTTGGAAACTTTTTTTTTGTTTTTGTTCTGCCTGCAGGGGCCGTTGTCGGGCCCCAGGACCGTCAAAAATGGATCTGGGGTGAACACTTGCACCAGATGGACCCTGGGAGGTCAGGGTAGGGGGACCGATTTTGACGGGATTTGTCCTCGCACCCCCCCCTCTTGATAGATTTTCCGGGCCCCCATCCAGTTCAAACCCCCTGGCCGCCTCCAAGGTATTCTTGGATTCCCAAATACAATATACTTCAAGCGTCTTCTTATTCCAAGAATCGATATGTTTGTGTTGCCCGATTCCGTGCTATTCTCTGATATTCTCTGGGCTGAACCGAACACTTTTTACGTGTTCATCGATTTCTTCTGATTGGCGGGTACCCATATTCACGGCGTATCGGATTTTTGGGAAGGGATGCCTAGAATCCGGTACCCAATGGATATGGACAAAATTTGGCCTCGATGGAGGCCTGATTTAATCCATATCCAGTGCATCTGGGAAATTTCTAGGGCGAGGCGCAGTGGATGCATTCATAAACCTTTCTTGCACGGCGCAATTGGCGTCACCAGTGGGAGGCCCTCCAGTACAGGCGGCCCGGATTAGTAGGTCGACCTTGCCAGATCAAGGGTAACCTCGTGTCCTGTGTTTTGCGACCCATGCCTCCCGCATTTCTGTGGCAACGTGGCCCTCGGAAGCGTCTTGTGTCCTCTCGCGTGTCCTCTCCAATCAAGTCCGACTGTAACGTTCTGTGGGGAGGTGAGGTCCGGGGCTCGAGACTCGCGGTGTCGGATCTCGCCAGTTTCCCAGCTTCGGGATGCTATCCCGCAGCTGCGCGTCGCCACGAGTCAGGCCTCCCGGTCGTCTCGGCACGGCCGCTGAAGGCCTGAGTCAGGGCCTGAGAACCGCGCGGGAGAGGGATCTGCTCAGGGGGGACGCATCGACCCCCGATCGCCCATTCATCGCCGAGAGGGGCGCAATATCAGGGAAACATAGGACTCGAGGGAGCCGGAGCTCGGGTTTGCCGACGTTTTTTGACGAGCGCCGCGTCCTGGATTCTGGCGGTCCCGTTTCCGTGGGACGTTTGCAGTGGGAGCTCGCGCCAGTGTTCAGGTTGGGGCTCGCCATTTTTCTGATGGCCCCGCCAGGCCAACCCGAGTCCCCCGTGCCCGAGTCTTACACGTCTCCCCGACAATGGATCGGATGCCTATCTTCGGATGCAACTCCTGGGAGGTCAGATTCTGATTTTGCACTGGTCCGAAGTCCGGCTTAATCCGGCTCAATCTGGCTTGATCCCGCTTAATCCCGCTTAATCCCGTTTAATCCCGCTCAATCTGGCTTAATCCCGCTTAATCCGAAGCCCACTTTGGCGTAACAGCCCCGCAATGGGGCTTCATCCTTCTTAATCTTTCCGTCGAAGACCTCCCAGCAGTTGCTTGCTACGGCGATGCATCGCCGGCGCAAGCCCGACGCCGACCCCCCCCCCTGGAGCCGGGCCCTCCCGGTCGCTCCCCTTGTGAGAGGGCCGGAAGAGAAGAGCAGGCACGCACAGGGAGGTGCCCCAGGAGCTCGGTCGTTGTGCGGCTCCTCCTCCCCCCTGACAGGGCTCGATTCGATTCCCCCGATTCCGATTCGATCTCGATGGCCTCCGATTCCGATTCGATTCGGCTTCGGAGTACGACCTGGCTCCCGTTTCCTCGCTATGGAGGCCCTTTAGCCTGCCGGTGTATCTGCGGACTCGGCTTCTCCCGACGTGGCTGCCGATGTCCGCCGATCCGATCCTTTTCGATCGCCGATCCGACTCGTCGATTCGATTCGGGGCTCTCCTGCGGGCAGTACTTTTATCCATATCCAGAGCGTCGTGGACTTTTTGGGAAGAGGTGCCGCAACGCCGAGGCGCACTGGATCTGGATAAAATCAAGCCTCTTGGGCCAAGATTTTTATCCATATCCAGTGCGTCTACGTTTTCTGGGGAAGAGAGCCCCAGAATCCAAGACGCACTGGATGTGGATATAACTATTGCCCGCATCTCCTACCCAGATTGCGCCAGGTGTTGAGTGGCCAAGCGCCGTTCTCGCGGCTGCACCTGGATGGTCGGTGCCTGCCAGGCGGGCGCAGGAAGCTGCAGTCCACCTGCATGTGTTGGGCGCGGCGCGTCGGGAGTCCGCTTGGCATCGCTCGGACGTGTGCATTTTTCCTTCGGCGAGGACCATCGAGGAACATCCTTGATCATTCGGGGAAAAAACCACGCACGAAACCCACAAATGCACAGGGAAAGGACGTCCGAGCGATGGCCAGTCCGCGGTGTTGTTCCCAGCCCCAGACTGGTCGCCTGCTGCGGTGCAGCCCAGCCTTTCCACGGAGTCGGCGCGGGAGGGGGCCGCTGCTCATCGGCCGCGTGCGCGCCGCTCCCTCGCCTGTCCCTTCCGCCTTGCCCCCCCCAAGAAGCTTGGCATCGCTCGGGCGCGGGCATTCTGACCTCGCGGCGGGTAGCCTTGATGCGCATCCTGGATCGTCCTGGGGGAGCGAAAGCACGCGCTTACCGGTTTGCAGCACGTCCCTATCCCTCTGTTTGGCATCACCTCACCTCGATGCCGATCTTAAGGGTTCCCTCAGGTTCTGAGGGCACACCCCTGAGATTGTCCTCGCTTTTGGTTCGCCCATCTTAGGGATAGGGATCAGGATAAGTTCGAGGCTGGCCACGCACGGCATCGAACGACGCACGGGGAGTGGGCGTCCGAGCGATGGCGAGAAAGAAAAACAAGGAGCTCTTCACCTGGAGGAACAACCGCAAGAAGAGGAAGCTGGCCCCCTGAGGGGGGGGAGGACCGGGGCCGCGCCGGGCTCTGTAGGGGGCCATCGGCCTCTGGCGCTCGGTCGGGCATGGCCCCCCACAGGTGGACTCTGAGCGAATATTGTTTTTTTAAAGAGAAAAAACAAAAGTATGCCAAAATAGACACACTGCAAAAAAAACGTCTCCATGTTTTCGACTCTCTTTGAATATTCCCCCTTTGGAGGGACACGCCCGACTGAACCCTGGCGGTGGGGCCCACGCGGGCGGCACCGGCAGGAGCGGTGCCCAGGCAGCAGGTCCGGGCACCACAGCAGTTTGATCGATGTGCATGCGTGCGTATACAGTGGAAGCCCATGCCAAGAAGCACCCTGCTTGCCTCCAAGGTGCCCTTGGTTTCTTGGGTTTCGACGGTGTTGATATGGAGAGCGCGATTTTCCCACACCAAGAGTCAATGGACGTCCTGGGGTCTCAGTGTTGCGTTTCTTGTGGAAGGTTTCTTGTGCTCGAGCTCCTATTGTTCATGTATAGCTGAGTGTCTATGCGTGTGTGTGTGTGTTTGTTCAGACCTCCCCGCGTGAAACAGATAGCGACGGGCGTGTTTGTCTTCGTTATCGTCGCCCTTCGGGGGGGGGGACCCTTGCTGGGCTCCCGAGAAATCCAAGAACTGCTCAGAACGGCATGTCCTTCCCCAGGGATGGGGTCCAGACCTGGGGGGTCCACGTCGTGAAAAGCTCGCAGCGTTGTTGGCGGTCTGCTTGTGTGTGCCACGTGTTGTTTGTGATTGTGTGTGTGTGTGTGTGTCTCAGCCTCTGTCTGCCTCCCACGCAGCCCCGCTGCGGCTTGGTGAGTGGGCCGGCCAGCTTGCGGCGCGTCTTGTAGCTAATTAGCCATGTTCGCAGCCCCGGACTATTGCTTTCGCCGCCTGCGCTCTTCGCTTGCGGCCGCGACCAAAAAGTGTGTGTCTCAGCCTGTGTATTCCGGAGTGAGCTAGCGCGAACGCTGATGATCGCTCGCGGCCCCGTGGTCTTCAAGGCAACCCCCTTCTGACAGTTTTTTTTGCTCGAGGCTCATCTCCTGGAGAGGAAGGGAGGAGGATCCTCTCGGCCACGCGCAGAGGGGGGCAGGGGGAGGGGGGAAGGCTTCTCAGAAACACCCCTGCTTCGTGGAAGGCGGGGGCCTTGTCTGTGGATGTAAGGCCGGCGCCTTCCAAGAAGCAGGCTCCTTCTGAGAAGCCTTCCCCTCTCTTCCTGCCCCCCTCTGCCCGCCGCCAATCCTCACACGAGAGCAGGAGTCCAGCGGTGTCGAAACCAGCAAGAGGAGCCAGCGCCCTCCAAGAAGCAGGCTTTTTCTAAGAAGCCTTCCCCCCTCCTCATGCCCCCCTCGTCGCGCCGACGATCCCCCGACGAGAGCGGGAGATCAGCGGGGGGTCGGAGCCAGCAAGAGGAGCCGGCAGGGCAGCAGCCTCGGGGTTCAAGCAGTGGCGAAGCGTCTTGGCGTGCCTACAGCCCTACAGAACAATGTTCTAAGAACCTGTTGTGGTTTCCACGAACTGTTCTTAGAATATTTCTGGACGGGAGCGCCTTGTTTTAAGACATCGGGTTGATTTGTTAAGAACATTGTTTTTGTAATTGGAACATTTTTGGGTTCCAAGAACATGTCGTGGTAGGACTATAGGACTGCCAGGACTGTCGGTCCCTGCTCAAGGGGTGTAGTCTTGGAGTCCCAGATTGCACTCTACTTTAAGCGCTTTCCTACTTCAATGATCGAGTGGCTTCACCTTTTCCGTCCTCCTTAAAGGGCGGACGGAAACCCACTATGTTCAACGCCTTCCTACTTCATGTTTCTACCTACTTTTTCCGACCGATGGGTAGTGGGCACTCCCCCGCTCCCCCAATCTCAAAGTTGGCACGCGCGGGGAAGACTGCAGTCGAAATGCTGCGCATTCAACCCGCCGCCTGCATTGATCATTGGGGAGGGGGCGTTGACAGATGAATGCGGCATTGACAGATGAATGTGGTTTTGTCGCGCGCGCGCGCGTCAGTCGGGCATGTTGTCGTAGTGCTGTTCCCATACCCCCGTGCTTCGTGGAAACAAACACAACGGTAGTTGGCTTGCTAGTCTTGGCATCTCAGTGTCCTCCTTGGGCCTTGGGACTGTCAACAAGCTACGCAGGCTGAAAAGCCGTCCCCAGGAAGGAGTCATGAAAACAACATAACGTCAAGGGTTTGTGTTTTGAGCTTTTTCGACGGGCTTCGTGAATTGAGGGCAAGGGAGTCGACATGTAATCACTAGTGTTGCATGTTCGTTCGCCAACTTTGGCATCACACTGCCGTGCACCCGCATTCTCGACGTCTCGTCTGTGTACCTGATGCCACGCTCGTACGAATTGTGGGTCCGCCACTGATTGCGTGATGTCGCCGCTTGGCAATAAGGTGTCTGTGAGGTAAGGACCCAGCCTTACGCGCCATTTTCTGGTAGGGACGCGGACTCAGCTTTTTCAAGTAGTAGGCGTCGGAAGTTTTAGTGCGTGCGCGCCAGATGTAGCGTGTGGATTCTGCCCTGGCCCCTGTCCTATCCACTTCTGGATGGAAGGATCTGGAAGAGTCCCTGCGCGAGCAAAGTCAGAGCGCAGCCAAGGGAATGTGCGGAGGAAGGGCGGAAGAGGAGGCTCAGCGGCCGTGGCAGAGGGAGGCCCATGATGAAGTCGCCCCCTCCACCACGAGCATATCCGCCGCTTCCGCGGCGGTTTGCTGGTCCCACCCCCTTCCGCCAAGTGTCGGTGTCGGTGAGTGAGTTCGGTGACTGTTTCGGCTCGTGGCTCTCCGCTCGCGCACGACCGAAAGCTCGCCCCATACGACTGGGACGTCGGAGGCGAGATCGAAGTGAAACGGAGGAGGAGGAGCAGGAGGAGGAGGAGGAGGAGGAAGAGGAGCAGGATGAGGAGGAAGAGGAGGAGCAGGAAGAGGAGAAGTAGGAGGAGGAAGAGGAGCAGGAGGAGGAGGCTCGTGGCTCGTGTCGTACTTGGCGGGCGTGCCGGCTTGGCGAAGTGATGCGCGAGTTCCTGTATCGAGCGGCCCAGGCCCACAGGCACCAGTCGAGCGTGCCCCGTGGGCAGGTGGGTTGCCCTGGGGTTGTGTCCCTGGGGGCTGTCTTGCGGTTGTCTCGCGCTTGCCTCCATGGTTGTTGTGCTCGTGGCTCCCTCCGATGGTTGTCCTGTGGGTTAGTACCGTCTAAGCGATCCTCATCCCCATCCCCATCCTCGATCCAGACCCCCACCATCTCATCCCCCCAGTTGGGGATATGCCCTTCGAAATCTGACAGAAGCTGCGCGTATCCCCATCTAGGGCGGTAAACCGGTCAGTGGGGCCCAGGCCACGCAAGTGGGGATAGAGATCGGTTAAACGATGCTCAGTTGGTTGTCCCACTGGCTGTTCCAGTGGTTGTCCCGATGCTTGTCCTGGTGCTTGTCCCGATGCTTGTGTCTATGGTTGTCCCATACTTGTCTCGATGGATGTGCCAATCGGTGTCCCTATGGTTGTCCCGCGGGTTATTCCGATGGCTTTGTCTTGTGATTGTCCCAAGGTTGTCCTGATGATCGTCCCGATGGTTGTCCAGATGTTTTTCCTGATTGTTGTGTCGATATTATGCCGATGGTCCGTGGGTTGTTCCGATGGTTTTTCTAATGATTGACCCGCTGGTTGTCCCGATGGCTTTCCCGGAGGTGGGCCCCAGGGTTGTCCCTATCATTGTTCTCCCGTGGTTGTCGCGTGTTTGTCCCGTAGTTGGCCTGTCGTTGTCTTATGGATGTCGCGTGGTTGTTTGTCGTTATCCCGCGGTTGTTCCTTGGTGGACCCATTAGGTCCTGCGATCGGTGGGCAGGTAGTGAAATAGATCGATCGATCGACAGTGGAAGCGGCAGATAGCTAGCGAGACCGCCCGCTTTGCAAGATTCAGGTATTGAGGCCAAGAGAGCGTCAACTCGACTGAATTATAAAAATGTTACCAGGTATCATAATTGTGAGGCCGATTGATCGTGAGATCGACCGATGCATTGATCGTGGGATCGTTATGCTGATATCGGCCGGGGTATGGGTAGATCGATTCATATACATGTAGATAAACAAGCATACACCTGCATACATATATGCGTAGCGGGATCTACCAGTAGTTACATACATGTGTATGTATCAGTTGAACATGTGGCTGTATGGCCGATGGGTCAATTCATGTGGATCGCTAAAGATGTCGACGTGCACAAGTGGTCATTGGAGATATCGCTTATCCGATCCGACGCCAGTCGGATACTCTCACGGCGAGCCATCGCCGCCCCCTGCCTTTCAGGAACCATTGTGTTACCAAACGATGGGCCGCAGCATGGCAAAGTTATGGGACTATGGAAGATGACTTGGGAAGGAAGAGACAGAGCCAGACGAGAGCGACAAGAAGGAGGAGGCCTCTCCGAGACCTCTTGCTCTCCCTTGGGGCTTCCTGGGGTCCTCTTTAGGGCATCTTCGGAGACTCTTAGGGGGGCATGTTGGCTGTGCATCTTGGCCGGGAGGGCTCTGAGTGGCAGTTCGGGTTCACCGTCTCGGTCCCATCCTGTGGGCCCCTGGGGAACCTCCCGGATCTCCCTGAGGGCCTCTGAATCCCCCTTGTGCTGGTGTTAGTTTGGTCTTGGACAGCTGCATGCCAAGCTGCCTGCGGCAAGCCCTGCCCCCGCACCAGCACATCATCATTGGTGGCGACTGCTTGGGGGGACGCACAAGGGGCCTCAGCGTGTGACACCTCATGCGTCGAGTCGGGGGTTCTCTTATCGTCTTCGCCCTACGTATAGATTTTAGTCCGTCCTTTCTTGTGCGCTTGTGGTGCAGCCTTGGGGGTCCCTTGGTCCAATTGGATCCGTCTCGGGGCCTTTTTGGTCCGTCCTGGGGCCTTCTTGGCCGCCAGGGGAGTCTATTGCTGCCGTCCTGGGCCGAACGACAGCTTACAGTTTTTCAGTGATGTCGGCTTCTTGGGCTGGCC